ACAGGGCTGAGTGGGATTGGAGCAGAGGCCAGAGACATCAGCAGCCTCCATGACCAACTCACTTCCAAACGGACCAACCTGGTGCGTAAAGCAAACTCTCGGACATTTTTTTTTTTTTTTTTAACTCTCGGACATTTTTATGTTCTCCTCTGCTCCCAAGTATATCAGCAAGCAGTTTGCAAAAATATATAAAATATGCATGGCAATAAAGAATGGTAAGAGACCTAAGTTTGGGATGCACAGGAGAGCCAGGAATAAGAATACAAGTGGTGTCAGATGACTTAAATTCCTGCTACAGATGGGTCACGGAGTTTGCTCAGGACTTCTCAGCAGCCAAAGTAGACAGAGTTTGTGTTTCCACGTTCAGTGATACAAGTCACCCTGTTGATAGGGGGACATAGAAAGATTGTTGCTAGGAAGGCAGTTATTAGTCTATTCCTCCTAGAGTCTCCAGTATAAACAATTCATTGTGGGTGCTGATACAATGTTGTCTCTCTTAACTGGCTTAATCCAGGGCTAGACTTTACAACATCAATCTTCCTCTTTTATGTCCCCCTGGCCCCAATCTCTTGATATTGCTACTCAAGACTGTCCTTCACCAGAGACCCCAGCACAACTGAGTATTTCTTTATCTGAACCTAGAAGCAAATGCTCTAAGTCGGGAGGGAGCCTCGTCACTACTGCTACCTTCGAAAGGCATTGTAAATTCCTTATTGCTTCCATTCTGTGTTTGTCTTAATATTTTAGTTTCTCTCTTGTTTCATGGCCACTTGAGAATAATACCATTTATAAAACTGTTTCACTTAGGGGCACCTGAGTGGCTCAGTCAGTTGAGCGTCCGACTTCAGCTCAGGTCATGATCTCATGGTTCACGGGTTCGAGCCCCGCGTCAGGCTCTGTGCTGAATGCTTGCTCACAGCCTGGAGCATGTTTCTGGTTCTGTGTCTCCTTCTCTCTCTGCCCCTCCCCAGTTCACATTCTGTCTCACTCTGTCTCTCAGAAATAAACAAAAACCAACTTGACAATAAACTATTAAAATAAATAAATAAATAAAGTAAAAAAATTAAACCTGTTTCACTTAGAAATCCATTTCTGAAGAGTGTTGTTTGAAATAAATCTCATCACTCCTGGTGTATAACAGAAGTGATAATCTTATCGAAACTAGCCCTAACTATTTAACAGAAGTCAGTTCTCCTTTCTTTTTCTGCACTTAAATTATGCGTGACTTGAGGAAACAGTTTTTTTAATAGTTTATTGTGAGGAAACAGTTTTTGACAGAATTTGCTTTAATATCTTCTTCATCATCTTTGGGCAATGCCAAGCATATATACGAGAAGGTATATTTTCAATTAATGGTCTTCAATGTCATGTAGATATGCACTGAGGATCTCCCTAACTTGTTAGTGTGTGCCTTTGGGTAGGTTACTTGACCTCCTTCCTGAGTCTTACATATTTCGTTTCTTGGATAAAAATGGCTAAAACTCCTATCTCCTATGCGGTTGTGAGAACTGCGAAGAGTGTATATAAAAGAGTCTTTAAGGAGTATATAGTACATTGAATGTGAATGAAAATAATAAACAATCTTATCTAGCAGGATCATTTTAAGGATGAAGAGAATACATATAAAGAGGTTATCAGGTAGGGAAAAAATTAAGTTTTGTTAATATCATCTTTTATCAGGATATGAGGAGATAGATGTCCTAGGAGGTTGCTGGCAGTAGCATCACAGCCACTTTAGAGAGAATTGAGCAGTGTCTATGAAAAGTTAAAAATATACAAACCCTTCTATATTAAAAAGGAGTCATACACTACTAGATATTAATCCAAAGGATATAAAAATGCTGATTTGAAGAGGCACATGCACCCCAATGTTTATAGCAGTGCTGTCAACAATACCCAAATGTTCATAGACCAATGAATGAATAAAGAAGATGTGGCGTGTGTGTGTGTGTGTGTGTGTGTGTGTGTATATATATAATGGAATATTACTTGGAGATCCAAAGAATGATATCTTGCCATTTGCAATAATGTGGATGGAACTAGAGTGTATTATGCTAAGCAAAATATGTCAGAGAAAGACAAATACCATGTGATTTCACTCATATGTGGAATTTAAGAAATAAAATAGATGAACACAGGGAAAGGGAAGGAAAAATAAGATAAAAACAAAGAGGGAGGCAAACCATAAGAGACTCTTAAATACAAAGAACAAACTGAGGGTTGCTGGAGGGGAGGTGGGTGGGGGGTGGGCTAAATGGGCGATGGACATTAAGGAGGGCACTTTTGGGATGAGCACTAAGTGTTATATGCAAGTGATGAACCACTGGGTTCTACCCCTGAAGCCAAGACTACACTGTATGTTAACTAACTTGAATTTAAATTATATATAAGTATATATACACACAATATATATACATATGCATGAACCCTATAAATAGCAATTCAACTTCTCTGTTTCTACCAGAAAAACTAGGTATTAGCACGAAGAGGTATGTACAAGCACGTATATTCCAACACTGCTTGTAATAAGCTAGCAAAAACTGGAAACTACCTAAATGCCCGTCAATGCACAATAGGTACATAAATTTTGGTGTGACAAGTCTATGAAATAATTTAAAATACTGAGGTAAAGTTATATGTTTAACATGGAAAGAGCTCCAAGAAATCATGTTGAGTGAAAAAACAGGCAGGGCATGGAAGGATCGTTCAGTATAATACCATTTATGTAAGTACACACAGAACAGCCACTTGAAGCAGTATTATATAGTGGCACATATATGGATGTTAACACATATAAAGAAAAACTGTAAATTTACGTATCAACATAAACAGTCATTACCTCTTGGGGAGAGCAGGAAGGAATTGAAACTGAGAATTATGGTCAAAGGAGGAATTTTCTTCCCATAGGGTTTTCTTTTTCTTTTTTAAGCAAGAAATATGTATATAAGTTATAGAACTGAAACAGAATTTTATAGAAACTGCTGGGCACAATGCCTGGCATATAATAAGCTTCTGATAAGTGTTAACTCCCTTTCTTTGGCATAAAATCTCAAAATTATCTGCCAAGTGAATTTGGATTTTATTCATTTATTAAATGAATATGTATAAGCACATATTTTGCCCCAGTTGTGTTTTAATGTTTTCATGGAGAGCAGTTTAGACAGAATGTTAACAACTTAGGGAGAAGACAAATAACTAAGCAAGGAAAAGTAATAAAGTTCACAGGTGCTAATAGATAAAATAGAGAATACTATGGGAACACATCACAGCAACCCTTAACCTGGTTTGGAGGAGTCGAAGATCAGAAAAAGGAACCCTTAACAAATAATCCAAGTAGTCAGAGACTAGATCAAACAGCAGCATGAATTGAAAGAAGGGGCGAGGCAAAGCCAGCTTTGGGGTGCCTATGTGGCTCAGTTGGAAAGTTGTCAATTTCAGCTCGGGTCATGATCTCCTGGTCTATGAGTTTGAGCCCCACGTCTGGCTCTGTGCTGACAGCTCAGAGCCTGGAGCTTGCTTCTGATTCTGTGTCTCCTTCTCTCTCTGCCCCTCCCTGCTTGCTCCCTGTCTTTGTCTCTGTCTCTCTCAAAAATAATAAACATTAAAAAACTTTTTTAAAAAGAAAGAAAGAAAGAAGAGGCGAGGCAGACTAGTTATAGTCAAAATTGATACAGGTTAGGGATGGCTATCATGATTCATTATGACTTATATCCACAACCATTAAAGAAGCAGGACTTCAGAAATGTTTTTCCTTTGCTCAAGAACCATCTTGTAAAATAGGATCAAAGAACATTTAACATCTACATTCAATTCTGCTGCAAACTCACTGACTTGTATGTCTTATCTCATGTCCTGGAGTGGGGTTCCTTCTAAGATGATGCATAAAAATGAAAGCAGGGATGTCAGATCTGTGAGACAGGCTGAGTTCAAATTCCAGAGAGATGGGAGACAAGATACAAACTCTAGAACAGGAAGTGAAAGTAAGGACAGAGAGAAAATATCCATACAAGGCCAAGGGGGAGAACCGTCTAGGGAACAGATACGGAATTAGAGTTTCCAGGGGAAGTCTCTCTTCCCTGATCCTGTTCCTTAAACCAGGTGGTCCCACCCAGTCACTAGGAGGTTTCAGTCATGAAAATGAACTGTATGGCACCCTATTCTCCTTTAGAGTTTCTCACTTAACTGCATCTCTGCTTTTTGCTCACTGTGACTTCACAACTTTGGATCTGCTGATTTAGGCTCCTATTTCCGGCCCATACATGTGACCACTGAGTCATCTCAGATATAGTTTACAGGTACTCTATGTTCTCCTGGCTCTGAACAGCCAGTGATGGATCCAGCTGGTTAAGGTTCTCAGGTTCCTAAACCAAAGTCAGCCTTCCTGGTCAGTATCAACCATTAGATAGGTACGAATCAAGGGCAAGAGGAACAGAAAATTTGTCCAAAGTGGTGAGTGGGTTTGTATGAGCAATGTTATACTATAAAGGGGTCTGTGATGGACGCTTGTGGTCCTGGAGTTCTGACCCAACCAGCTCTAAGGTATGGCATTCTGGACCCAGCACCTGATACCATAAAGCTAAAAAAATGTCATAAGAAAACATATTTATTTTCTATTGCAAATGACCTAAATTGAAACCATATCAGTCCGTGACAAGAAAGGTAAAGGGAAGAAAAACCTTTGTGTAATACCTTAATTGTGCAATAGACATGCAGGTTGGGGATCTTGCTTGAAATAACTTCTTTAATTTATTACTCAAATTCTGTGACCTATTTTTTAAAATGCCTATTTACATAGAGCAAAACTTGATTTTTTTAGCAAACTTTTTTTTAAGTCTATTTACTTTTGAGAGAGAATGAGCAAGAGTTGGGGAGGAGCAGAGAGAGAGAGAATGCCAAGCAGGCCCTGTGCTGACAGAGCCCAATGCGGGGCTTGTATTCACTGAGCTGGATGCTTAACTGACTGAGCCACCCAGGTGCCCCAACTTAAAATTGTTTTTAATTCAAGGAACTATAAGACACAGAGAGGATATATGCTTTTTCTGGTCCTTGAGTCTTTTCAATGCATCTTTGATCTCCTTGTTTCGCAAACTGTATATGATGGGATTCAGCATGGGAATCACAGCTCCATAGAGCATGGACACCACCTTATTTTGGTCCTGTGAGTAGCCAGTACTAGAATGGAGATATGAGAAGAGACCAGAGCCGTAGAAGAGAATCACTGTGGTCAGATGAGAGGCACAGGTGTTGAAAGCCTTCATCCGCCCTTGGGTTGAATGGATCTTCATGACAGCAGTAATGATGTAGCAATAGGACACCAGAACAACAAGAGCTGATGTCCCACCAACTGCACACACAACAAGAAAGTTCACTACCTGGCTGAGGAAGGTACTAGAGCAAGACAAGACTAGCAGAGGTGGCAGGTCACAGAAAAAGTGGTTAATGACTCGTGGTCCACAGAACTGCAGCTGAAATATGGAACTGGTCTGGACCAGTCCCGTGAGGAACCCTCCAGTGTATGCTGTAATGGTCATCCTCACACACATGGGGGGTGACATGAGGGCTGTGTAGAACAGAGGGGTGGCAATAGCAGCATACCGGTCATATGCCATAGCTGCCAGGAGACAGCATTCGGTGCCCCCCATGCCAATGAAGAAGAAAAACTGAGCAGCACATCCCACAAAGGAGATGTTCTTCTGCTGCTTGAAGAAGTCGCAGAGCATCTTGGGGGTGATGGAGGACGTGTATGAGATGTCAACAAAGGACAAGTTTCCAAGGAAGAAGTACATGGGGGAGTGCAGGCATGATTCCATCCTGATCAAGACAACAAGGCCCAGGTTCCAAGCCAGAGTCAGGGAATAGATCCCCAGAAACAACACGAAGAGGAAAGCCTGCAGCTCTGGACGTTCTGAAAATCCCAAAAGGATGAAATTGGTCGTCATGTTGATGTTCCTTTCCACGGCCATGTGTCTTCTCTTTCCTACCTGCAGGCCCAAAAGTGAGACTCCTGGGGAGTGAAAATCCAGGTGGAGAAACCACTTTGTTCTGTCATGGAATCCTAGACTCCCCGAGTCACAAGAGTCACTGGAAAGAAGATATTCTACCTCTCTCCAACGCGGAATTCCCCTCGACAGCATTTATTGGGCTTCTCATGGAGATCATTGTCATCCTAATCTGATCTGCTATTCATGCAAAACTGACAGGCCCAGATCAGACTGGCAATTCTGCATTATCTGGATCACCACCTTCATTGTCAATATCACCACTTTACTGAAGGAAGTTATTAATACAATTTGGACCAAATACTCCTTTTTTCCCCACTTGCTTCTAAGCATTAGTTGTTGGATTCTTGAGCCACTCAGATTTATGCTAGATACTTTTTTCTTTTTTTAAAGAATGTAAATATATCATAAATTAAAATAGCCAGAGAAGTAATTATGTGTTTATCATCATAGTTTGTTCCGACCAGCTTTTATGGGGTCAAGGTATTCTTTCTTCTTTAATTAGTTGAATGAAGCACATAGAGGTGTGGTAACACTGGTATCCCCTTCAGAGACTAAAGGAAAAAGTTAAAAATAAAAGTTCAACACTGAATTGTCAGTGCTCATTCTGCACAAATATTATCAACTGATTACAAACCTTGCACCAAGTTTGATAGACCTGACTGTGGATGATGTAGAAAGTATTAAGACATTATTATCAAGCTCAAAATGTTCGACAGACTGCATGGTACAAACAGGAAGCAGATAAACCACAGCACAATGTGATAGATGCCCCAAGAGAAGTATTTGTATAGTGTCCTCGATCTTGGGCATAGCAGGTGGAAGCTTCTGAGAGATGTGTTCCAACCTATGAGGGTTCCAACAGTGAATATGAGGTTACCAGGATGAAAATTTGGTGTATGAGGGGGTTGGATACGGTTCTGGAAAAGCATTTGCAAAACCAAAGGAAAGCATAGTACTTGGAACACCTTAAAAATGTCAGCATGGCAGGGGCTCAGGTGGAACAGGGTTAAGAGCAGATAACAGAGGTCTAGTTTTGAGAACCAGTAGGAGGTGGGAAAATAGTGAAAGATCTTTGAAACCCAAAGCAAAGACAGCAAGACATTTGTTTGTTTCATACATATGTGTGCATACAATTGCATATGCTATGTATATAATTGCATATGCTGTATATATAAATGCAAATATGTATTGCATATTCACATTTAATTTCAACCTCCTCTGCACTTCTGAAATTCTGTCCTCCTTTACTCTGCTCTGCTCTTTTGATAGGATGCATCACCTTCTCCCATTGGATAGAATCAATTGGTTGTTGATCCTGATTGGCTGTCTCCCTTAGATTGTAAGCTTAAGGAAGACTAGGATTTATAGGAATTTTTATCTCTTTTGTTCATTGAAGTATCCCCAGCACCTACAGCTGTACCTGGCATGTCGTGGGTGCTCAATAAATATTTGCTGGATAAACGCCATGCTAAGGGGTTTGACCTTTCTCCTATGGGCAAGAGGGAAAATATGAAAGTTTTGTTCTTGTTTGTTTTTTAAAATTTTAATTATTCCTTTGTAAACAGGGAACTAGTTGTCAAATATGTGTTTAACAATATAGCAGAGCAGTATTGCTGTGCGGAAGCAGGATAGGAGTGAAAAGGAAATGTGGAAGGGAGACCAGACCGTTGCTTTGAGAGCCAAGAGGAAAGCTATTACTGATTTGAGTGGAGACAGGTAGGTTTAGAAATGAATGCGCCCCTGAGATGCAACAGCACCATTCACTCTGCTGTGCTGCAGGGGAGAAAAACCGTAAATGGCCACCTAGTCGCTGCCTCCTTTTTTCTCACATTCGCAGTCAAAGCAACATGTTATTAAGTTACACCATGATTCTTTCCCATTTCAACCCAAGAGTCTACAGTATACATCTGTTACACTTTTAGAGAGTGATAAAAGTGAATTAGCAATCATTTTATATGATTTCCACATCAATAACCTGGTCATCTTGACCTGAATTACCTGGAGGTGAAGATATTAGAAGTAGAGTACATGACATGTGTTAAATGTCCTTATAAGTATATATAATGTATATTATATGAATATATTACATATCATATTTTATATGGATGTATCTACATATATCATATATATCAGAGTTTTCATGGTCTGAGAGAGCCGTCATTTCTTTGACAGCATTTTTGAGCTGACGTAGCATTCCCACATCGGCTACCTTATCTGCGGGCAGGGCTCTGATGTCAGCCAGAGTCAGTCTGTAACCCTCCATCTGCAGGCTGTGAGGCCTTGGGCAAGCCGACACATCACTCTTAAATCTCTTTTCATTTTCCTCAACTGCAAAACTAAGACGATGATAGTACAGGCCACTTCATAGATTGTGAGGATTAAAAGAAGTTACATCAAGTACTGGAGAGAAAAAGAAATAATTCTTATTGCTTAACAAATGATCAGCACTGTAAGGATTTGAATCCCGGTCTCTCCATCCCTAATCCAGAGTTTGCTCTCCATTGCATCTGCTGCTTAAAGCCAGGTGCACTTACTTGTATATAACAGCAGCTACATTGACCATATGCCCTTTGCTGGTGTGATTGCCAATATTTTCAGCAATATGTTGGCTTATTTCATCACACTGTGTGCTTCCTTTTGTTTGCTGACCTGCTCTGTCTACAGACTTAACTATAAAGCCTGGGCAGACATTATAAGCTCAGTGCCTTTGTATAGTTCCTGGCACATAGTAAACATAAAATAATATTTGCGGAATGAGTTCAATCTACAACAATTTGGAAAGGCACATATTACAGACCAGAAGATCACTGAGGTTATAACAGCTGACACACTTAAGTGACCAAACCAATATTTAAATCACTGGTTCTTTGACTGCAGAGCCTCTTCTCTTTCCTGAATGCTGTAGAAAGAACTTGACAAAGGGACTGAGCAACCCACAGGACCATATTATGGGCATAAGCTGCAGCAGATATGATCCGTTCCCCATCCTGACTGGATGGGGAAAGACAGGACAAGACTGGATATGTGGAATCTGAATTCTGAAAATCACTGTAAAGAGTTTTTCTTCTCCCCTGAGAAGATCCGCTTGCCTTTTAACAAGGTTAATGCCACATACCAAGATAAAGTGGAATGAAGTTCTAATGTGGTAACTCCCAAATAAATGATATAACTGAGGTGCAGAGGGAATTTTCAGTTCAGATGACTTTGTAGCGTATGATAAAGAAAACCCAGAAAGACAAGCTTGTAGGAAAAGAAACGTATTTTCTCCTTTCTTCTCATCTGTTGCAGTGCTTGGTACTTTATAGGTACCCAGTAAATATTTGACTTGCTCAGTAAAGGCTAATAACATATTTACTGTAAACTTTCCCTAATCCCAAGATCATTAGACCTGTGCTATTTTAAAGATTTTATTTTATTTTATTTTATTATTTTATTTTTTGAGAGAGAGAGGAAAGGGGGCAGAGAAAGGGGTGGGAGGAGAGAATCCCAAGCAGTCTCTACACCCAGCATTCAGCCAACGTGGGGCTCAATCTCACAACCAAGAGATCATGACCTTTACCTGAAATCAAGAGTCAAGTAGATGCTTAACCAACTGAGCCACCCAGGTGCCCCTGGACCTGTGCTATTTTAAATGCTGCATGGGTGTCCAAAAAACTCTGGAGATATACTTAAAATAATAGAAGTTGAAACCAGTTAGGCTAGACTTTCCCCATTATAAATGATGAACCTAAAGCCAAAGAGAGAGTGAATGTCTGTACAGCTGGTTGATAGGAGAAGTGGAATTAGGACCTATATTTCCTTTTCTAGGAGTAGCTCTCTCTGCTTTACCTTATTCTAAGGTTTTTAATGCTTATTTATATTTTTGAGAGAGAGAGAGAGACAGAGTGAGATCAGGAGAGGGGCAGAAAGAGGTGGAGACACAGAATCTGAAGCAGGCTCCAGGCTCTGAGCTGTCAGCACAGAGCCTGACATGGGGCTTGGACTGCAAACCACAGGATCATGACCTGAGCTGAATTTGGACACTTAACCAACTGAGCCACCCAGGCACCCCTGCTCTACCTTATTCTAAAAGCTGGAAGTCTCAATGGCAACTAGAGAGGATCGAAGGAAACCATATGATTTCCTCGCACATGCGTGCACTCAGGAGTCTAGAATAGCATGAATATGCTCTTAGTAAGAGCGTAAGAGACTCTTAAATACAGAGAACAAACTGAGGGTTGGTGAGGATGGGGGAAAGTGGCGGATGGGCATTAAGGAGGGCACTTGTGGGGATGAGCACTGGGTGTTTTATGTAAGTGTTGAATCCCTGGATTCTAATCCTGAAGCCAAGACTACACTGTATATTAACTAACTTGAGAATTTAAAAAAATGTTGATTCAAATCCTATTTCTCCTACCTTTTTGCTGTGTGACCTTGGGAAAAAATGGTTTGCCATTCTGAGGCTTAATCTTCCTATCTCCTGTCTATACCATAAAAAGAGTGTTTTCGAGTCCACTTTCCTTCCTTATTCCCACTTGAAAAAAAAGCAGAACTTTTTTCAAAACAAAATTTTCTGCAGAAGTACAGAATACAAAATAGGTGAAGTCCAGCTCCTCTGGATAAAGTAAAAGCAGGAGAGAGAGGGGAAGACAGCCTCCTGCCTGCTACATCTCCCCTTCCTTCAAATGTCTTTCTACATCTCCCATTCTGTGATTATAGGATTTACATTCCTACAGAAGGACAAAGGGCAGACTCACCTACAACTCCTTAAACTCTGGGCTTCAGTCAGATGGCTAAGATCAGATGCACGGAACTACAGTGAAAACTCATCTCTGCTAGCACCTGAAGCATTAGTTTTGGCCAAAGAGATCAACAAAATTTGGGTGTAGCTACTTTAAATTGACCACCAAGGGAAGGACTTGACAGGGATTTAAAGGAAGGCCAGTTCTCTCCCAAGTACCATTGGGTCTCTTTAGGTTGTG